ATTTTCATTTTTTGTTTGGTTATTAGTATTGTTTTGGAAGCTAAAACCCTACAAACATAAAATATATAATATAAATTTCGTAAATTACTTCGTGATATTACACTAACGCAATTTGAATGGAATTTGAATTTCAAATTAAATTATTACATATTACAGAGTATTAAAAATATAAAAATGATATTTTGACTTCAATCATTTCCTTTTCATTTATTACTATAACATAGCCATGGCAAATACTAACAATAATAATAACTAATTGACTACGGTTAAGAATAAATTTAAAATTGAACGTTGTTAAGATTAAAATAAAGTAGACAAATTTCAGAGTTGAAATATATATGCAGTAAAACATAAATTGTATTAGTGTACAATGACAAATGTCTGTTACATACCAACAATGAATAATATAAAAAATTACTGAGGCTAATAGAATTTTAATTGATGTTCAATATAATCGATCTTTTAATAACTATTAGAACCAAGAAATTATTAATACTTTCTTCTCAATTTTCATGGAAAAAAAATACCACCCTTACTATTGGAAAACTTTTTGATCAAACGGGAGAAATTTTCATTTTTTTCAAATTTAAGGAAAACGTTTTTCATCCAACCAAACATGCTTTATCTGGCCAGCAGACACGTAAGGATGTCCAGTTAATTTTACAGCTTCAACATATTGTTAAAATTCAATCCTAGATGACTGCTTCGTGATTCCATCTTCTTTCCCCTGACCAAATCTGTGCCTTAAATTAGGTGGATTACTTCTGAAGAACGAAGACCATGTGTACCAACATATAGGCCTAATAAAACCTGAACATCCTCGTTCCTCAATGAATATAGAAAATAAAGGTGGGAAATTAATAATAATATGACAGTGACAATGAGTTCTTTCAAATAGCAAGAAAAAAAAACAATCTGAACAGCTTAAGAACACTATTGGTAAGTTTCTAATTAATCACCATTTAATGGGTCCTAAGAGGTCGGAATCTCGATGCGGTTAAAAGTAGTTGATTTTGACAATGCCTGGGGATTTTGAGCCTGATTTAGAGTAAGAGTAAACAACTTGCTAACGTCCCTAAGCACCTGCAAGTTTTTAAGGCACAAAAGGTAAATCACTAATAATACAAATTATAATTCACTAAAAAATTATTAATTCGATAAACACCCTTTCTTTAAATTTGTTCATGCATCCACTTTTGAACAAACATTTTAGGAATATGAATATGTAGAAAAGTTCCCTGAAATTGTAGTATAGAAAAAAAAAAGTTATAACAAAATCATACGCATAAACTAAACTTTTTCAAATACAAATTTTTTAGACAATATTACAAAAACAATACCTCTATCGCGTAGTAGTCTAAACTTGATTATGTTCCATTTGTGTCTAGGATGAAGTTCGCGACCAATAATCTCGAATTGAGTAGAAGTCATTGCTATTATATTCGATGTGAATAGGAGAGTATAGAGACATAAATATGGTGGAAGTTTACAACTTTACTTTTAGCACAGAATGATTTGTTTAAATAGCATAATGATATGTTGTTATTACGTTACATTTGCAATACCATCAAGTATAATTGGTAAAAAAAAAATTGAATAATTTTGAATAGTAATCTGTAGTATTAAAAGGTGTGAAATGGTCAATTTATGTTTAGTATAATTGGTCTTAAATAAGTAAGCAATACATTTCGAATATTAATAAATTTGCAATACCATACATAATATTCATTTGCAAGGTGCGTTCCATATGTTACAACCATGCATACTCACGTTACTATAAATTGATTACCAATTACTACATTTGCAATATATACCATAATTATGCAATATTATCAATTAATACATTTTAATTAATTTTCATTAAATATTTACTTACCAAATAAAATTTATTAATTATTTGACCAAAAAAATATAAAATATTTAATTAATTTAGTACCAAAGTTTGAGCGGGAAAATGATGTAGGAGGATTTTACTTTTATATATATATAGATAGATTTTTTCTTAAAGTCACTACATTTTTCTTTTTCGAAATTGAGGTGCAATCATACGTATCGAAAATCCAGGATTGACCGTCATCTCTCCAACACCTAAAATCCAACGGCCATTGACGCCGTTTCCTAAACAATAAGGATAGGCCAGCCGGTCAATTTATTGTTTATTCCAACATGATGACAGCTACCAACATAAATAATTAAATATTGCACCAATATTGCGTTATATTATACTACTTTTTTTTTTATTTTTTTTATTTTTTTATATATTCATATTCTAATATTTTATTTTAATAAAAAATGAAAGGGCAAAATTATGATAATTCATAATAATTTTTTAAAAATATTTATACCTTTAATTTTTAATAATATTAAAACATAGTATTGAAAAAACTCAAAATAAGACAATAGTTTTACCATATTATTTTTTGCAAGAAAATTTCAAGTTATTAGTTTAAAAGTTTAATAAAGTTTTAATATCACTAAACATATTTTAATATTTTCAATTAGACCCACATATGATTATTTTCAAACAATTCATTATCAAATGGATAAGTCTTCCTTGTTTCATAAATATATTCATTTTATTCTGTTTTTCTTTCTTTTCATATTCTTTTGTTAACTTTCTATTTTATTTTTCAATCTATTTCCCATCTCTATTACATTACATAGAATTTAAATAATAAAAATATTTGTTTAGTTTTTAAGATAATGAAGAGGAAAAGAGAAAAAAGAAAAAGAAAAAAGGAGGTTGAAAATAAAGTAAATAAAATAAATAAATATTAAAATAACATTCAAATTGAAGTTATTATTATTACTAGTAATTCACCCGCGCGATGCACGGGGAAAAATCATGTTATTATAAATATAAATAAAAAATAGAAAAAATAAAAATATTTTAAATTGTTTAATATAATAATATTTTTGAGCTTCCATTGGTCAAGTATTTATTATTTTTATAGAATACAAAATTATAATTAAAATTTTGTATGGTTAATATAATCTCTAATTATGTATATATTCAAATAAACTTATAGAGAGAATTTACATAATTACATTGATTTATTCTTAATTGTATTTCATCTATATTATAATTTTCAAAATACGAATAATAACTAAGATAATTACATTTAGAAAACAAATTTCAAATTTTGTATGGGTAAATTTAAACTCTAATTGAACATATTTTTTTATATGATTATATAATATATTCTTTATGCACATGGCATTTCATAAACTCAAATGTCATTTTATAAGTCCAAGACCACTTTTTGTGGAGATAATTCAAATGTATTTTTTTCTTTTAAAAGTCCTAAGTTTAGACATCCAGAAAAACATTAAAGACACATACGATATATACATTTATATATATTTAAATTTTTATTTATGGCTTAAATGATTTTATTTTTCAAATGTTGTGTTTTTTTTTATAGTAAAAAATGTTGTGGCTATTTTATATTTATAGCTAGTAATAATAATAATGTTGGTAATTAATTGTAATATTAATTACCTCCCAACCATATAGCTTTATTATATGTAAGATTATTATTATTATTATTATTATTATTATTATTATTATTATTATTTTCACATACAATATTCACTATTCTCTCCATTGTGAGATTATGTTAGATTCATTTGAGTCATATTGATAAAATTTGATATTTATTATAAAAAATTTGTCCAAAAAATCCATTAGCATTACAATATTTATAAGATTTGAAATCCTTTAAACTTTGTATTCTTTTTTTGAATGCTACTAGCTCTATTACATTGTAGTATCTGTTCATATACTTTCTCAACCTACTGAAACACAAAGAGCTAATAACGCCTCCAACGCCTCCACTGAGGCTCAAACTCACAACCTTTCACATGGAAGTCCAACCCGGGTACCATTGGACCACATAGTCCTGGTTTTAACTTTGTATTCACTCTGTCTCATTTTATTTGTTCTACTTATTATTTATTGGTTAAACAATTTTTTTCTTCTTTGTTTATTTTACTTTACTATTTATTACTTATTTTTAAATTTAATTTTTTTTGAATTTAATAGTATTTTTACTGTAGTTTCTAAATATATAAATTTTATATAATAATGCTAAATTTAATATTATAAAAAATTAAATAAAAAATAACTTCAATCAAATTTGTTTAACCGAATCAGACACATAAATGAGGTGGTGCCGCGTGGGAGTAATTATTAATTAGGGATAAAGTACAAATAAGTCACTGTACTATTTGGGAAAAAGCAATTAAGCCATCCAACTCAAATAACCCCCAAATAAGCCATTGAACCCGGAAAAAAAGAGCAATTATCATTTTTAACAGGTTAACTCCAGGTTTTTGCTGATTGGATTGTCAAATGTTTATTTTATTTATGTTTTTTTTTATTATTATAATCCACCTACATAGTAAAATATTTTAAAGTAATTATAATCAAAGTAGTTTTGTTTTGTCTAGATCTAATTTATTTATTTATTATTATTTTTTAAACAAAAGATCCAGTTAAAAAATAATAATAATAAATAAATCAAATCTCGACAAGACAAAACTATTTTGATTATAATTACTTTAAAATATAATACTATCCAAGTGGATAATATTATTAAAAATAATAATAATAAACGTAAATAAAATAAACATTTGGCAATCCAATTAGCAAAAACATGGAGTTAACCTGTAAAAAATGTTAATTGCTCTTTTTTTTAGGATTCAATGACTTATTTGCTCTTTTTTTCCGGATTCAATGGCTTATTTGAGTTCGATGGCTTAATTGCTGTTTTTCAAATAGTTCAGTGGCTTATTTGTACTTTATCCCTATTAATTATTAAAAAAAATAAAAATAAAAATAGACTTATAATAATATCTTGGAAACGAAAAATAGTAACCGGAATACCGGTTATCGCCGGTAATGGGTGTCCCCACCAGAGCCCCAACGCCTGACGCCATCTGCGGCTAGGGGCAAGTAGCCCCACCGGCCACCCCAAATCCCTTTCGTTCTCTGCCAAACCCCATCATCATCATCATCTTCCCTTACCTTTTTATCTCCATTTTTCTCAGGAATTTTGGATTGGTTTCAATCCCTGTATTAGAAAGTGTTTCTGTTTGAGGGGATTTATTTATTTATTTATTTATTTCTTCTTGAATCTCTCACCAGGTAAGTGGATAGGAATATCGCAGTCAATCTTCTTCCATCGTTTGTGAGAAAATTTCTCATTTTCTGTAATTCAATCATATTTCTGTGTGGGGAGGAAAGCTGAACTCTGGTAATTCTTTTCATTGCCCATCATACTTTAGTTGGTTTCTCTTCAATTATGTATGCGGGTTTGATTTAAGATGGGGTTTTGATTCACCCTTTGTCTGGATTTAGCTTGTGGGTTTAGTGAAAGTTGTTGAATCTGATCTGGGGTTTTGAGATTGTTGGTAAAGATTGAGGCTTTATGTTCATAAGGGAGAATTTGGGGCTAAAGCTTCTTAAATCTGATCATTGAACCTTCTATTGTCTTTGAAATTGGGTGAGGATTGAGGTGGAACAAGTTAAGTTAGGTTTTTGTTTAGAAAGATCTTTATTGGCTCTAGAGTTGGTGTTTGGGGATGCCAATGGCAGCTGGTACTGATTGTTCACATCCATTCATCAGATTAGAAGGTAGTTATAATAAGAGTAGCGTGTCCCATGCAAAAGATGAATTTGAAGAGGAATCAGATGAGTGGAAGCAGCCAAGTGTTAAACCTCCTCGCCATTTTTCTGTTGACCACCATTCTATAAGCTCTGATGAGACACTTCTGGTGTCAGCTGATTTGGTATGTCAACTATTTTCTAGTAGCTTCCTTGTCATGTCATTTGAGCTTTCAGTTGTGTTTAAACTTCAAATGGTGTTACTTGCTGCAATTTATGATTTGGTTTAGTTCAATCTGAATAACATTTTCCTGGATTTCATCGCTCTGTTTCATTTTCTTGAGCTAATAGCTTTTTGATAATAAGATAGACTAGATGAAGTTATTGCTTGTGTAGGTAAGTTAGCCTGTATTTCTTCAAGGGATCTGTTTTAGTTTTGTCATATACTTCTTTTATAGTGTCCATTTCCATGTAGTCTTGCCACCCTATCTAGTGCAATATATATTTTCACTTGAGTCAAGATCATGAAAAAGAACTGCAAGAATGACCAAGTGATTGGTCACCTTCTGGGACAGGATTTAGTTCAATTATACAATATGATAAGCATGGTTCAGTCCAAATACTTGAGGGAAATCTTGCAAATTCTGGAATTATGTGGAAAATCTTAAAGAGTTTGCTTTTCCTGTTATTGATTGCCAGAATTAGCAGTTATAGTCTGGACTCTGGAGTGTTCTTCTGTTTTCTCTCTTTTTTCCTTTACCCTTGTGAAGGTCAATACTCTGAAAAACCAAGTGGCTAATTTTTTCAATTCTTTTCCTTTTCAAGGATTTCGGTGTTGACATCAAGGAGATAGAATGTGCTTCAGAAGGAAAGCCGAGCTTTCTACCTGTATTTAGATCTGGAAGTTGTGCTGAGATGGGACCCAAGCAGTACATGGAGGATGAACACATTCGAATAGATAATGTAGCTGAGTATTTGGGAGAATCTGCCAGTTTCGCTTCTCCAGGCGCTTTCTATGGGGTGTGTATCTTAGATGCTTCTAACTTTTAGTGTTGGTGTAATTTAATGTGTCCCTGTCCTCTCCTTGCTCAGTCTCAATGGATTAGTTAATCAGTAAATGTGATTTGCATATTATTATTTAAAGTCACCTTGCACATGAATTCTTTGAAGGGCTTGCATATATAGAATTTTGATAGTTGATCATCAAATTCTATTTTCCATTATTAATAAAGACATGAGTAGTTGCCTTGTGTGATTTCTAATTTCCTGTGTTCTCTGCACTACTTTTGATGGGTTACGACATCATAATACTTCTACTAGAGCTTTACTTCTCTATAATATACATTTAGTCTGCAGAAGGTTAATGAGATATTGGTTTCGTTCTTTTATTGGAAGGTTTTTGATGGGCATGGTGGAACGGATGCAGCATCGTTTGTTAGGAATAATATTCTGAAGTTTATAACAGAGGACTCTTATTTTCCTATCTGCCTGGAAAAGGCAATGAAGAACGCTTTTTTGAAAGCTGATTATGCCTTTGTTGATGATAGCTCCGTTGATACGTCCTCTGGCACAACAGCACTGACTGCCCTCTTATGTGAACGGTTAGTTAGTCTGCATATTCTTACCCTTTTTTAAAAAAAAAAAATTGTTTAAGGGGATGCTTGGTAAATAGCTGTTAGCTGATTGGGTTAGTGGGTTTGACTAGTTGATAGCATTAGCTGATTGTAGAAAATTGTTTCGTAAATTAGCTCTTAGTTGATAGCTGATAGCCGATTACATTCAAAATGACTTTCTCAAAAAGCTTATCAAAAAAGCTACTTTGAGTAGCGTTTTAAATTTTAGCATTTTGGAGGAATAAGTTGTTACAAAAAGCTAATTAATCAAACATTCATATTGATTGTTTAACCAAGTCAAATAGCTAATAGTGGTCAAATAAGCTAAAATTGGCTGATAAGCTAACTATGTTACCAAACAGGGCCATCTTTCATACAATTGGATGACTGCAATACCTTCTATCTTTACCTTTTCATTATTCTATACTTGGTCAAAAGGAAAGGAACAATGATAATGAAAATGTTTGCTTTTGTTTGTGCCATGTGTATTTTATTATTGAAAAATTGGAGAATTCACATGTTTCATTCACATACCTTGGTGTCTTTTTTGGACTTTCGGTTTTCATTGTGAAAAGTATGATACATCATAAAAATATTTTAAGTGGTTGGCTCAATGTGCGAATCTAAAATTTTAGGCAAGTCTGAACATGTTAAATGGTGTGGTAGGTTTGTCTCCTATTATTACTCCATAGACTATCTTCTGATGACCTGGCAATTACAAGTCCGTTGCACTTTTCATTTTTCTATCAGGAAAATTTATGCAGAATTGTATACTTGTTACAGAAAATTGATAATTGCGAATGCTGGGGATTGTCGTGCTGTTTTGGGGAAACGAGGGAGAGCCATTGAGCTATCCAAGGATCATAAACCAGATAGCAAGTCTGAGAGACACAGGATTGAAAAACTCGGAGGTGTCATCTATAATGGATACTTAAACGGCCAACTATCTGTAGCGCGGGCCTTGGGAGACTGGCATATGAAGGCTCCAAAGGGGTCCGCCTGCCCCTTGAGTGCAGAGCCGGAGTTGCAAGAGATTATATTGACAGATGACGATGAGTTCCTAATCATGGGGTGCGATGGTCTTTGGGATGTGATGAGTAGCCAGTGTGCTGTGACAATGGCCAGGAAGGAATTGATGATGCACAACGACCCCGAGAGGTGTTCAAGAGAGCTAGTTAGGGAAGCCCTCAAGCGCAACACTTGTGACAATTTGACAGTAATCGTGGTTTGTTTCTCCCCCGATCCTCCGCCTCAGATAGAAACGCCTCAAACACGAGTCAGGCAGAGCGCATCAACGGAAAGATCCAATCTTCTAAAAGGCGTATTAGAAAGCAACTCATGACAGCACTTTGGAAAAAGCGGAAGAAAGGCAGCAAAGACAACTGCCATGGAACACAGATCAGATCCCCGATAGATCAATGGAGGAGGCGTTTTCACCCCCTAATGAGGCACCGGCGGTGCTGCTGCCGTGATGCAAAGTTCCACTGTATGATTGTTTGAGTAGCTTCCTGTATTGGGATTTCTTGTATCTATTGAATCAATTTGGTACTTTTCTTCTTTATGTACAGATTCATAAACATATGATTTCTTCATCAGTTATGCAGTTCAGTTCAATGATTTGTCTCACTTCTACTCTGCATGGATCTGGTATCATTTTAGTGGATAGTAAATTGTAACTTAGGGATGTGTAAGGCTGTGTTTATTTATTTATTTATTTTTAATTTCGGCATGTAGGTTTAGGCAAGGGTGGTATGGTAAATATATGTTAGTTTTAATCTTTTTAATATTCCTGTGATTTTGGAGAATGAATTTATTTTATTTTAAATCTTGTTATTATTTTATGATGATGATGTTATGCTTGATTTTGATAAAATTGGACTTTATTACTGATGTACTCTCTTTCTTTTTGTGGTTTTATTTTTTTGCTTTGAAAATTTTCTACATTTATTTTATTCCACCATGGGCTCAAGTTCATTTTTATGTTTTTAATAGTCTATAGTTTGAGTATAATATTTTTTTATGTTTGTGATTGACATATATGTAGCTTTCGCGGGTACTGTACTGGTGTGCACTATGATCTCGGTAGGTGTATATTTGCATTTTTATCCTTGCTGCTGGGTTTTCGTCGTATGTATGTACCTCGTCATGTCTTAGTGTGTACTTTTTGTTTATGTGATGTGTATGTGCATTGTAAACTTGGTGTGTGTGCAATACAGTACATATGCATGTGAATTGTGGTTTGCATCTAATGATGTGCTTGTGCACTAGTTAATATGTGAATCAACTGAGTTTTTTTTTTTTTTTTTTGTTTTTTTTTTTTAACCTTTCTTCCTTGCTGGTGGTGGTGGTGGTGGTGGTGCATGATGTGTATGTGTGCATTTCAACGTGAACATGTGCACAATGCAATTTTAGAGTGTACATAGTGCAGTGTATAAATGTAGCATTTGTGCATTATAATACTATGTGGGTGCATTTGTTTCTAATGTTGTTTGCATCTAATGAGGCGTTTTTGCACTCGTTAGATATGTAAATCAACTGGGGTTTTATCATTTTTTTTCCTTGTTGTTAGTAGTGGTGCATGATGTGTATGTGTGCATTTTGAGTTTTTACCCATTTGGTCCCTTGACTATGACCCATTCTCAATTTTGCATTTCGACTTTCAATTGCACCTAATGTAGTCCATTGACTTTTAAAAATTACCCCAAATTGGTCATCCGTTACATTTTGCATCAAACAACCGTTATATTGGGGGTATTTTGGTCCATTCCACCCATTTTGACCATTTTGTTCATCAAAGTCGTGAATCATGGAGTTGGTTGTCCTAGGAGCTTTGGCCACGCTGTCCAAGCTCATGTCGGAGATAGGAAGAAGTCTACCCAGCCGCCGCCATTGTAGGAGGCTCTCCTCTGCACTCGCCTGAGTTCTGCTACTGTTGGACGAGAACCAGCTGAGCTCACCGCCGACCACCCACACCTGCTTCTGCCGTTGATCTGCTCTGTTCTACTTAGGAGTGTAAACGAGCCGAGCCGAGCTCGAGCTCGTTAATGGAGGTTCGGCTCGAGTTCGAGCTCAAACTCGATCGAGCTCTAGAATTGATGCTCGAGTTCGAGCTCGGTAATTTTCGGGCTGCTCGAGCTCGTCTCGAGCAGCTCGATTGTTCGAGTTCGAACTCGAGCTCGATCTTGAGCTCGATTTTGACATTGAATTTGACCTACTTAATACTTTTGATTTAAAATTCAAACTACTTTGTTTTATTCATACATAAATAATAGAAATCTTTTAGGGATTTTGAGTTTAAAATTTTAATTTCTAATTGTTATTTTATATATTATTATTATATTATATTATGTGTTATATGGGTTATATATATATTATATATTATATGGCTCGCGAGCGGCTCGATGAGCCGCGAGCCTAGAATATCTAGGCTCGGCTCGAGCTCGATTACTAAACGAGCCGCTCGATCTCGGTTCGAGCTCGATTTTGACCGAACTCGAACCGAGCTTTGACCGAGCCGCTCGCGAGCTGCTCGGCTCATTTACACCCCTAGTTCTTCTGTACATCGTCGCTTGCTGCCTAGCGGGAGAGGGAGAGAAAACCAAGGAAAAAGGGAGATGGAGGAGATCGCCGGAAAAATACGATTGCACTCTGGTGCCACCGATCTGCACAGCCATCGCCATGGAGGCGGTGGAGTAGTTGATCGAGGAAGAAGATGAGTTCAAGTCGGACAGTAACTCCACTTCGAACGGCGGCGTGCAAGTACTGATCGATTTCCTCCCGGTCCCCTACAAAGATCATCTTATCTTCCTCAGCGAGCAATAATCCTTAACGACAGCCTTTATTGCATCCTCAACGAGCATGCTGCAGTGGAGTTTAACGGGAGGGAGAGAGAGAGATGTTTTGCAATTTCTGTATTCTTGATGGATAACACTTCCTCCATTTGCTTTCCCTTCACCCACTCTGTTGCAACAGATGAGGACGCGATAGCGGAGCCACATTCGAAGGTCTTGAAACAAGCGTCAACGATCTTTCCAGTCTCATCATCGACCTTAATATGGAGCTTCATCACGTCGCCGCAGGCCGGGCACCGACCAACCCCGTGTCGACCATCGGGTCATTCTTGTCGAAGGAGCCAACATTGCGGGGGTTGTTGTAGTAGTCTAGCACCCTCTCGTGGTAAAGCCGCGGAAAACCCACCGCCCTTTCCACCACAATTCACCGGGAGCCCAGCCCTAGAACTCTGTTCGATAACAGCCTAAACATTGTTCTTCGAATTTTTTTTTTCTTAATTCTTGATTGATAGCATTGAGTGTGTATCCTCATCGGACGGCATGGAAGATGAAGAGATCGCATCGTCTATGACGTCTCACCCCGGCGGCTTCATATTCTGTTGAATGGATCAAAATACCCCCTAACTTAACGCTTAATTGATGAAAATGTAACGGAAGACCAAATTGGGGTAATTTTTTAAAGTCAAGGGACTACATTGGGTGCAATTAAAAGTCAAAATATAAAATTGAGAATGAGTCATAGTCAAGGGACCAAAATGGGTAAAAACTCTGTGCATTTTAATGTGAAAGCATGCACAATGCAATGTTTAAGTGTGCATAGAGCAATATATAAGTGTGCACACGATTTCGACGACATTCTACGGAATGCACACGATGTTATGCATGACTACACACTGTCACCCAGAGTACAACACAACACCCCATTTTGCTGTCCTGTGCTCCACCTGTTTGTCTTTGCTAAATTAAAGTACCAACATTAACAAAACAATCAGATTTTCTTATATTTAATAATAGTAAAAATAATTTATTATTTAATAATATAAAAACTCCTATTTTGTCGCTGTCTATACATATTTCGACGAAAGTTTAAAATTTTGCTTTGATAGATTTGCTCCTTAATTGATATTTATGAGTGATTTAGATTGCTGATTAGACGTATGGATTTAGAATGTTGACTTTTAATCATATCTGTTGATCACTTATTTTCTATGGCTACGATTTGTCTACACTTTCTATTATTTATCCCTATGATGCTAAGTCTCAAATTGGTTATGTTATGAATTACCTTAATGTCCTATATGAAAACAATAAAGCTTGTGTTGCACAAATGATAAATGAGTTTATTTAATAATATTTGATAGAGCATATATAATGTCAAGCTGCTATCCACATGAGCTCTATAAGAGTCATGAGATTGTTATGAAGAATGTTCTCCGGAAGAGTCACGAGATTGTTATACATAATGTTCGCTCTAGTGACAATCTTGAAGATTGCACTATATCCTTTTTTTACACTCTTTTTGAAACATTGTTTTTATTATATTAGAATGTGAGAACTTTGGATGTTTTTTTATTTTATTTTATTATTTTTTTTATGGGGAGTGACATTTACTTGAATCAATATTGAATATTAGACTTGAATAATTCTAAAGATTGTGTCATAAAGACCAACAAGTGTACTCTTTTTCCTTTGAATGAATTTTGATATAATTTTCTTAATTAGAGGTTTTTTAACGAGGCAACTAGCTTTTTCCTCACTAGATTTTTTCCACTGGATTTTTTTGGTGAGGTTTTAATGAGGCATGATTATGATATAGGCCTGTTTGGCAAACCTAGCTGAAAAGCTATAAGCTAGGAGCTGAAAGCTGAAAAGCTATAAGCTCGGTGTTGAAAACTGAAGAGCTGTTAAGTTAGCTGTTATGATTGAAAGTGTTTGGGAAAATTAACTTTTTGATAAGCTGATAAATGTAAAAAGACTAAAAAGGACATCTTCATAAAATTTAAATTAGTTTGTTTACATATTATAATTTAGCATTTTGTCTTTAAAAAAAAATAACATTTTGAAATAAAACTATTAGCATAATCATGATCTAGCATCTCATAATGAAGTAGCAATATTGTTGCAAATCTCATTTGCGGTGAAAGTTGCGGATAAAGGAGAAGAGAAAAGAGTTTTAATTGAGAATGGTAAATTATGTCATTTCTTTAAAATAATAAGGATAAAGATGGAAAAAAGTTAGGAATAATAATAATAATAATAATAATAATAATAATAATAATAATAATAATAATAATAATAATAATAATAATAATAATAATAATAATAATATTTGCGATGAAAGTTCCGTATAAAGAAGAAGAGAAAAGGGTTTTAATTGGGAAGGATAAATTATGTCAGTTCTTTAAAATAATAAGGATAAAGATGTAAAAAAAGTTAGGAAGTTAGGAGCTTATTATGAAACGCTACCTAAGGTAGCGTTCCAAAATAAGCTCTTATTTTAAGCTCGGAGCTTATTTTAGGAACATTACCAAAAAGAGCTTATAGCTTATTAGTAGCTTAAA